AGAATGTAATACAATCCATCTAGATCTAGTGCTGTCCAATAGACCTAAGGATGATGGAAATGTTCTATGTCTGCACTAAAAGGTCTAGCCTCATGTGGCTATTGAGCTCTTAAAATATGGTTAGTGTGACTGAGAAACTGAATTTTAAATTTCATTTAACTTTAATCGATTTAAATTTAAGTAGACATACTGATATTAAAGCCCCCCATCATATAAATTAGATCTTACTCAATGTATTGTAAGTTTACCTATTAGTATGTACCCATAAGACTGACTTGAAACTAGTCAAAATGAGGAGGACTGGACTCTAAATGAGGTCCCAATTTCTGAAAACAATCTCTTAGGATTTTCTTAGCTGGTTATATTTGGTCCATGAACACACATAATAAAACTAATGGAATATTGTCTTTTCCACTAGTCATGCTACTAGTAGCTAAGAACTGACACTCTAAATAGCGTAAGAAAATCATTCCAATTTATTTGCAGAAATAAGAATACAAAAACTACAAATTATTATAATCCTTATTCAAATGCCTACTCAAGGTCTCCACCAAAATGTCTCCTAAGCATCTCAAATACAACATCCCCCAAAATAAACTCGTGCTCTCCACACCTCCTTGCACACCTCCTCCCCACCACCCAAAAGTCCCTGCTGCTCACTCATTGTTTCCAACTCAGAAAATGGCAAATCATTTTAAATGCCCAGGCCCAAAACCTTGCTTTCATATCCTTGACTCCAATCTTTCTCCCACACCCCAAATCCAAATCTAGCACATACAATTTTTTCTGCTTGGAATGCCTTTCCCCCAGCTCTATCTGCATAGTTAGAATTTCTTCTCATCCACCAACTCTTTGCTCAAGTGACACCTTAGTGAGGCCTTCCCTCCCACAACTGCAAACCTAGTACCCCACGCTCCCAAATCTCCTTCCCTACTTTGTGACTTATCATGTGACATACTAGGTATTGTACTTGTCTGCTCCCGTTAGAAGTAACCTATAAAAGAGAATATTTGTTTTGTTCAGTTTGGCATACAGAAGATAGTTAAATATCAGTTAACTGACAAATCCTGTAAACATTATAGTATATGCAAAATGACACAATCAAGGATGCAAAGCAAAAATAACTGATGTTATCAGAGCACTGGATTGAATTTTTTCTAACAAATAAAAATAGGTAAAAAAAAAAAAATGTCTTAAGTGGCCAGTATAGCATTTGAAGTCTCTCAGTTAAGAGTTAACCTTCCACAAATGCTCAGGTTTAGACACCCCTGCTCTAGGAGACCACCTTTCTCAACCTCATCTACTCCTGCCCCTATCTTTTCCTAATTTTTACCATGGCTTGATATTATTCCAATAAAAGTAGAAAATAAATTCTAATATAAACATTACTTAAATTGTCACATTTCCTGGATTAAGCAGGCTCATAGTTGTTTTAAGTTAATTTGTTTTAAGAGTGCATTATCAGCCTATAATTATAAAATAACTATATTCTTCATTTCTATAGACCTGCATTGTCCAATACGGTAGCCATTAGCCACATGTGGCTATTTAAGTTAAATAAATAAAAATCCAGTTCCTCAGCTGTGTTAACCACATTTCAAATGCTGAATGCCTCATGTAGCTAGTGGCTACCAAATTGAACAGGACAGACACACAGATTACAGAGAGCTCTATTGGGCAGGATTGTTACATTTTTTTCTTAAAACTTTATTCTAAAGCATAAAACTGATTCAGCTGAAACACTGGTAGAGTTTAACCTCATAATTTTCAATTCTCTGTATCAGTGATTCTCCCATCCAAGTACTAACCAGGCCCGACCCTGCTTAGCTTCCGAGATCAGACAAGATCGGGTGTGTTCAGGGTGGTATGGCCGTAGACTCTGTATCAGCGATTCTCAAAGTGGTGGCCAGACCACTAGCAGCACTACTTAGGAACTTGTTAAAAATACAAATTCCTGGGGGTACCTGGCTGGCTCAGTCTGTGGAGCATGTGATTCTTGATCTCAGGGTAAGTTCAAACCCCACATTGGGCGTGGAGCCTACTTAAAAAGAATAAATAAATGTATTTATTAAAAAAAATACAGGGGCGCCTGGGTGGCTCGGTTGGTTAAGCGACTGCCTTCAGCTCGGGTCGTGAGCCCGGGGTCCTGGAATTGAGTCCCGCATCAGGCTCCCCCTGCTCTGTGGGGAGCCTGCTTCTCCCTCTGCCTCTGCCTGCCACTCCCCCTGCTTGTGCCCCCCCCTCTGTCAAATAAATACATAAAATCTTTAAAAAAAAAATACAAATTCTTGAGCCACAGCAATCTGTTTTAGCTAGCTCTCCAGGGGATCCAGGAGATTCTGAATCATGCTCAAGTTTTAGACCACTGTTCTAAGTTACTTAAGAGTGGCTGTTGGGGCACCTGGGTGGCTTAGTCTGTTAAGCATCTGCCTTCAGCTCAGGTCATGATCCCAGGGTCCTAGGATTGAGTCCCATGTCAGGTTCCCTGCTCAGTGGGGAGTCTGCCCCTCCTTCTCCCTCTGCTCCTCCTCTCTCTCTCTCTCTCTTGCTCGCACGAGTGTTCTCTCTCAAATAAATCAATAAAATCTTAAAAAAAAAAAAGTGGTTGTCATCATAAGCTATGAAATACTGAGACATACCATTACATTCTACAATATTCCATAAATGATATATCAACTATGAAATCATATACAATCATATTTCTATTATGACATCTTATAAAAGGAAAACTCAGTAGATATTTTCAATAAAATTATAATATTACAACTAAAGCAATCATGAACTTCATTTCTTTTAAAAAATATACAACTGTAATTTGCTTCCTCTTCCAATTTGCAGATCCTTTTTCACTTCAACATCAACATAGCACATTTTTTTAAGTTCTTTATTTTAATTTCACTATAGTTAACAGTATAGTGTTATATTAGTTTGAGGTATACAATAGAGTGATTCAACAACATAATCAAACTTTAATCTTTTTCTAAAGATTCAACTAGAAGCCTTTAAGAACACACAACAATGGAATAACTAGGAAAAGGGAGAAATTTTCAAATTTTGTGCCAATTGAAATTCTCACAAGAAAATACTACTTTTATAATAAACTAATAAGTAAAAATGAAATTTATTAGCTAGAATTCGGCAAGAAGTTGAAACTAACATTGCACAAGTGTTACAAGAGGCTAAACAATTTGAGTACTCTAATTTCCTACTACACATCACAGATACAGTATAAGATTAAATATTTGCAATATTGACATCCATGTATGTTAAATATTTGTTATTAAATTTTCTGATAGAAAAACATCCCTTAGACATTTCAGCTAGGAAAAATAACACTGCAATAAAATGGTTATAAAACCACTGGGGAAAGAGCTAGTCTTGACTTACTACCAGTTTGACCCAAAAAGGAGAGTCATTAAGAGCCTGATTACAAATTTCAGCTAGTGCCTACTGTGATAACTTACCAGCGGAAAATTACTTAGTCACAATTTGGGCATAGAATGTTTTGGATATGTACACTAAAATAGCAGGCACTAGATCATTTTAAGAAATGTTATTAAAATATTTACAACATATTGAGCTTATCTGTAATCCATGGGAACCTAAATCAGACTTAAAAATACTGTCTCAGCATATAAATGTCCACTTCCACTCAAATATCCTTCCATAAAGTGAACATTGGCAATGCTTGACAGAATCTTGAAATCTAAACATTCTTCATTACTAAATGCAAAGGATACAATTACAAAATTTTTAAATACTGTAATAAAAAAAAAGTCAAATGACTAATACTACGTACTAACCATGTGCCATTTCTCTCACTCATCTTGCTATTTCTAGCACAGATCCAAGCATATAATGTATATTTAATTGCATTCACGAAAAAAGGAATGAGAATTAAGTTTGAGAGAATTCAAAGACAAAAAAAAAAAAAGTCCTAGCCCTCAAGGAAGTTACAAATCGAATTAGGAAACATGATAAATACAAGGAAAGCTAAATAACATATAACAATTAAAAACACCACGTGGCAGGATACGATTATTTGCAAAGCTGGTGGCAAACAATGCTATAAATTCCGACTAGAATGAAGGTATTACGGACTGCGATCCTTCTGGTCTCCCGACCGGACAGCAACACTACATTTCCATTTAACAAAAGAAAGTAACAGCACTCACCCCACCCTAAAATTATCATAAAAGGAACGAATACAAGAACTAAAGAAAATGATATAAAGAAACTGCCTTGAAAAAAAGTTAGAACATTCCACATACACAATCATTTGTTGGATCCCAGGACCTCTAAAAGCTCCTGAAACACAAGTCTCTCAGAAACAGCATCCTCTGATTATTTCTTCTTCCGCCCCCCACGAAGATTTCCACTGGACAGCCGCCCCAGAAATTTCTCCCAGCATCCGCAATGACAATACTCTCATCTTTCCCTCCCTCCCCTCGCCTGTATCAGACGGTGGCATCTCCCTCCAGAGGAAAAAACGGAGGGCGGGGGAGGCTGTATAGGACGGAGAGAATGCTTGCAGTGAGGCCGATTATTAAGGAGAAGGAACGCGAGACGACGCGGGGGTCAAGGGTGGGGTCCCCTCAGATCCAGCCCAGCCTCTAGGCCAGGTCAACATCTCCCCACCCTTAGGGCACGCCCCTCGCCCGCCAGACCCGAACGAGCAGGCAGCGGACTCGAGTGACATCCCCACCACCTGTGCCGCAACCCCTCCCCCGGGCCCGTGGGGAGACGCCTGCCCCTGCCTCACCAAGAGCAGCCCATGGCTCTTTCTCTACCCTTCCAGTCCACGTCGCCGATGAGTGACAGGTCCCCGGGGGAGGCGATAGCAAGCGCATGCCGCTCGATACTGCTGGTGCAACACTGCACCGTACCCTCCAGCCGGCACGGGGCCGGGGCGTAGACAGAGCGTTCCGGACGGCCCAGGGAGACCCAGTCCAGGCCTAGCCTGGCCCAGATGCCCCACACTGGGCGGGGGTGGCACTTACTGCGGAGATTGTGGATTAGCTCCGAGTGGCTGGCGCCGCCGGATTTCCAGGCCATCGCTAAGCACACCCGGAGCAGGTACAGAACCACCTTCAGCGCGGCGACGGTGCCCAGCAGCTTCCCCAAGAGTGAGACCACTTCCCACACGGTCACCGCCCCGCTCGCGTCCCCGCTGTAGTCTCCGCTGTGACTGCTGTCGCCGCCGGTGCCGCCACTGCGCGCTCCCGGCATCCCCCGCGGCACGCATGCGCTCTGTGACGCTGCGCGGCCTCGGGTGCGGCGGGGTGGGGCCGCGGGCAGGGGTGGCCGCGTGCCCCACCGCCTGCGCCTGTGGCTGCTGCGGCTGCTGCGGACGGGCTGGGAGCCCGGGCTGAGTCAGCGCTACTGCCGCCGCCGCGTGCCCCGTCTCTGAGGACTCGGGCTGCGCACCGCCAACTTGCTGAGTTCGCCCTGCAGCCAGGCGGGGTGGGCCCCGGCGTGGTCGGTCGCGTGCCTGGCTGCGGCCTTGGTCACCGAGCGCGGTGGCACGACGGCGGGACCGATTCGTGCCGCAGCGTCTGCCCGATCCGGTTATGCCGCTGCCGGTAGCTCCGTAGTCGCAGCTGAGTCAGCTGTTGCGAGCCGCGGGTCTGCTCCTATAGCTGTCCAGATTGTTAGACGGTGGGCTTCCTCCGTATTCCTCACCCAACCCAGTTGTCTAATATTTAGGTCGGTTCGAGTCGGAGCTCCGTATGGTGGAGCCTGAATAATCTTAATAGAACCGGAGGGCAAAGGCCCTCTCTCACCCGAGTGCTCGAGCCTGTGGCTTTGTGACAAGTACATCAGTGTTTGGTTAGCAGAGACCTTGGGACCCTGGTTTGTTCTCAACTCTAAAGCACATACTCAAGAGAGTGGAAGAACACCATAACGGGGGGGAAGGGGGGGCGGTGGTGCGTGGGAATGCTTTGCTCCTGCAAACAATGCAATCGGCTAAAATTACCACAGTATCTAATGAAGAATGTGTTATTTTCCCAACAAAAGTGTGCATTTTCAGCTAACTAATCCCCACAAATTCCACCGCTAGACTGGGCACCAGCTTTATCGCTACCAGCCCTGCAAGACAATGAGTTCCGGAAGCTGACAGGGAACATTGCTCGGCACATCCAACTTGCTGCCTCCTAATCAGAACTGAGACTGACAGAATCCAGTCATCATTTAGTCCAATAAACTTTTAAGAAAGGGAACAAAGCAATGTCAAGACCTCTACGCTACTGCATGAGCAGTGATTTTCAAATTCCAATTCTCGTCAGATTTTGTCAAATGTAACAGCCTCTACTACCACTCCGAAATATACTTGTGCATTACCTGTTTTCTGGGATTCTGTGACATAAATGAAACCACACTCAAGAAGGTGTTCTTTATGTGACTGACGAACTGCCTACTGCCCTAAGGAAGCACCTCAGTGTTCTTTAATATTAGAAATAAAATTGTCAGTTTGGGACTCTACTAGTTTTCTATCTTATCTCTGCAGTCCCCTAATATTCTAGTTAAAAGAACAAAACCAGTCTATTCTCAACAAGAGCCTGGTAAGTCTCTATATAGCTGACCTAGATGAATTGCATCTACATGTGGTGCTTCCATAAGCTGTGGCTGTGAAATAGGACTACTAATATCCGTTAAAAAGAAGATATCACGGCTCCTTTTAAAGAAACAACCAACACACAGTTATGAATGTATTATAAAGGAGATTTAAAAAAATGATACCTTTTGTATGCAATAGGATTTACATTCTAATAGGGGAGATACTCATTAAAAGAAAACAGGCAGCAGAGGGCAAAATATAAGTACTATTCTGGTCTAGATGTCAAGTGCTATGCTTATCTAGATCATCATGGGCTGGAGTAATCAGGAAAAGATAGGGGAAGGAACTGGTCCTTGAAGGATGACCAGGATTCTAAGAAGTAGAAAGGAATAAGGATATTGTAGGTAATTCAAAGCACAGAAGCAGGAACCTAGAGCACTAATTCCTACGCTGTCGACGTTACATATCAAACTCATTAATTACATACATAAATGAACTGAGAAAGTTTACATAGCTAGACAGTGGAGTCAAAACTGAATTGGAGATTTTAGAATTCCAACTCCAGGCTCTGACAGTGTGTATTAACAACTTCGAAGCAAAGTATTTGTTTGAGAGACAAAGAGGGAGGCCTTTAGAATAAGTTTGTGCAGTAATGAAGGTACTTCTATAAGAATTGAAGGATTTTCAGTATTTTCAATGGGTGCTGAGATACAAAACTGAATGCTTGGGTGTAGCTACTAGGTGGTTTCTCTTGCATTGATTTTGTTTTGGTTTTGCTCTTAAATTTTTCTTACATTGCACAATTATTGCACAAATGCACCGTTTCAGTGTTCCTATGCTGACTTTGAGGACTCTGTTCAAAGCCACCTCGGTGAGGAAGGGCGCTCCAACTTCCTCCTGCTTGGGGGTTGATGGTACCCGCATTGCGGAAGGACGAGAATTGGCTCTCCGCAGCCACCGTCCGCCTTGTAACGTCCAGCCCAATCAGACTCCGCGGGAAGGGGCGGGACTCGGAGGCGCGCGCAGTGCTTCCTGCTGTAACTGTAGGGGTCGCTTTTGCCATGGAGGATATTTATGCTAAGTTTGTGTCTCAGAAAATCAGCAAAACCCGCTGGCGACCGGTACCTCCGGGGAGCCTGCAGACAGCGGATACCTTCGCTGCGGGCTCTTGGGACAATGAGGTACCTCCGCTCCCGGGCGGGAACCTCCTGCTTCCTCTCTTTCTCCTGGAACCGCGCCGCTGGAGGTCAGCGCGCGAACTCTCGCCTTCTAGCTCCTCTCGCCATCTCCGTCCCCCAAGTTCCCATCTCAGGTTCGGTTGTCCGGTACCTCAGAGCCATCGATGATGTGCCTGAGCCTCGAATCTCGTATTTTAAACTATCACCTTCCATTTATCTGAGATGCTTTTAAAGCAAGGTTGCTTGAAGGCAATACAGATTTCAAGAGTTTGATGTATATTTCATCTCAAGAGAAAACTTTCTGCTTTACAGGAAAATTATGTTTCACTGTGGTCTATTGGAGATTTTGGGAACTTGGACTCTGATGGAGGGTTTGAAGGAGACCATCAGTTACTGTGTGATATCAGACACCATGGCGATGTAATGGATTTACAGGTAAGTCTGTGTAACTTCCAAAAGCTAATTTTTTAAAAAACCGAGATATATTTAGAGATGCAAAGGACCTTAGATTTTGTCTAGTCTTATTCCAGGTTTACAGGAAACTGAGTTCCCTATAGGTTATGATTTGCTAATAATACTAATTATATAGCCACTCAATGGCAGAATCAGAACTGGGGAAGGGGATGTGAATTTAATCACAGTTTTTTAAATCCTGATTTGTTTGTTTAATTAGTTGGCCATCTGTGTGCCAAACACCATTTGGGGGGCTTTACAAAAGTCTAATATTTTTATCACGTGCTTGTGAATCAGGTGTTTTATGTCACCATGGGACAAATACTATGCAAGGCACTTTACATGGTTTTGCTTTATAAATTCTTAGCCCCCTAAGTGGGGATTAGTTCTTCCATTTTAAAAAATTTACCAAGGCTTAAAGAACTTAATTTGGTTAATGTCTCAAAGCCAGTAAAATTGGGGGAAATGGAATTAAGTTTTCAAATCCCTGGTCTGTAGGACTTCAAAGTCCCTGCATTTTCTTCTATAGAAAACTGCCTAACCCTGGGAATGATTATTTTCTAAACCTCTATGGTGGTAGTCCAAAATTAAACCAGTTCTAGGTGAAGGAGTTGAGGGGGAAAAATTTATTGTTCATAAAAATCCTTTCATTTGTGTAGTGGTTTTGACTTTTCAGATCCATCATCACATTTTATTTGCTTAGCGTTTATAGGCTTTTTGCATTTTAAAAATTGTTATACTACTAATTGAGTTAAACAAATGGGTTTCCTTTCTATTGGTATTTCTGAATCCATAACAAGCAAGAATTTTCTATTTAGTTTTTTGACCAGGAAAGAATTGTAGCTGCTTCATCAACAGGATGTGTAACAGTTTTCCTTCACCATCCAAATAACCAGGTAAAGAATTTTTGCTTGAAAATTGAATTTATATTTTAATTATTTTTAAGGAGGCCTAGACTATATATAATAATGAGACAAATAAGTTTCATATTCTCAAAATATGGAGGGGAAAATATCATATTACCTATCTTTTAGTAGATTAATTCTCAAACCAGGTTTGTGTGAGCGTTTATTGAAATTAGAAATCTCTTAAAGTCTTTTGGTCCAGAGCTATCAATATGGTTTTCTGGCAAGTAATTTTCCTGTAATTTTCTCTTTTAAGTTACTATTCTGATCTTTCAAAGGAAGAGTACCTTCTAGCTTGGGTATCATGAGAGAGAACAGGGACAGCTACTTTGCTTCTGTGGATAGAACCTAGGTTTTAATTATAAGAGAGGATGTACTATATGAAGACTTGATATTTTTTCTTTTCTTTAAAGATTTTATTTATTTATTTGACAGAGAGAGAGAGAGAGAGAGCGAGAGCAGGAACACAAGCAGGGGGAGCGGGAGTGGGAGAAGCAGGCTTCCCGTGGAGCAGAGAGCCTGATGCGGGACTCGATCCCAGAACGCTGGGATCATGACCTGAGCCGAAGGCAGGCGCTTAACGACTGAGCCACCCAGGTGCCCCAAGACTTGACATTTTTTCAGTGCCTTTCTTGTGTATTAAAAGCCTGAGTGCTGACCTTCATAATGGTAGGGCAGTCCTTTAAAATAGCCCCATTTGTAGTAACAGTTTTAAGTTGCTGGAAGAGAGTGCTTATTTAGATTTTTAGGCTAATAAAGGTCATCTTCCTAATAGACATGCTAGTAAATATAAGACCCAGATCTTCCTATGTATTTCTCTTAATGGTTTCAGTTAGAAAACACTAGAGATTTATTTCTTAGATGTAGGCTAATTCCCTTAAGAATTTAGAGTTGTGGGGCACGTGGGTGGCTCAGTCATTAAGCATCTTCCTTCAGCTTGGGTCATGATGATCCCAAGGTCCTGGGATCGAGCCCCACATCGGGCTCCCTGCTCCACAGGAGGCCTGCTTCTCCCTCTCCCACTCCCCCCACCCCCGCTTGTGTTCCCTCTCTCGCTGTTTCTCTCTCTGTCAAATAAATAAAATCTTTAAAAAAAAAAAGAAATTTAGAGTTGCTTTTGGGGACTCCTGGGTAGCTCAGTCAGTTAAGTATCTTTGGCTCAGGTCTTGTTCCCAGGGTCCTGGGATCTAGTTCCACATCAGGCTCCTTGCTCAGCGGGGAGCCTGCTTCTCCCTCTGCTTGTGCTCGCTCGCATGCGTGCTCGTGCTCTCTCTCTCTGACAAATAAATAACATCTTAAAAAAAAAAAGAGGGGCGCCTAGGTGGCTCAGTTGGTTAAACAACTGCCCTTGGCTCAGGTCATGATCCTGGAGTCCTGGGATTGCTGGGAGCTCAGCAGGGAATCTGCTTCTCCCTCTGACACTCCCACTCCCCCCTCTCATGTGCTCTCTCTCTCTCTCTCTCATTCTCTCTCTTTCAAATAAATAAAATCTTTAAAAATAAAAAACAAAATAAAAAGAAAGAATTTAGAGTTGCTTTTGAACACACAACTATCTGTTACCTAAACCATTTCTTTGAGATAAGTTTGAGATATTATTGAAAAGCATTTTTTTAGTCTAATCCAGTGTATACAGAACTTTGATGGAAGTAGTTTCTAGGCTTTAGTGCCCAGAAATACGAAGGCAAAAGGAGAGAGTTACTCTTTTTCTAGGAGGGTATGAGACAGAATTTTAAAATACTCTTTATTCAGGGAAAAGTGCTAGTTTTTAGGGCTTTGCTTTGATTCATCATACTCTCATTTCTGACTCCTAGACTCTGTCGGTCAGCCAGCAGTGGACAACCGCTCACTACCACACAGGTCCAGGCAGTCCTTCCTGCAGCAGTGCACCGTGCACAGGTGTCGTGTGCAGTAACCCAGAAATTGTCACCGTCGGAGAAGATGGTCGGATCAATCTCTTCAGAGTCGATCACAAGGAGGCGGTGAGAACCATAGGTAAGAAAAATCATACTTCTTTTCTTATCACATAATAATTGAGCACCTACCATGTGCTAAGCAGACCCAATGCTAAGTGTTTGAGGGATGTAAAAATATACAGAGTAGGATCCCTTTATAAGACAATATGTCGATAAGGCGTGTATGAATGACTACGCAGGAGAAACTATTTTGGATTTTTTTTTTTGAGAGAGTGTTTTGTTTGTTTGTTTTGGTTTTGGTTTTTTTTTGGCTGGTGAGGATTATCAAAGAATTGAGGAGCAAGTGGCAATTAATTTAATCTAGGTTCTAGACCATAAATAATACTAAATGATGGCACACCAAACAAGGGGAATAACATGGAGGCAGGATAAGTCCATTTAGAGAATGACAAAAAGTGTAGTTTTCCATACTTATGTAGGAGAGGTGACAGATAAAGCAAGAGAAGTAAATTGGGGCCAGGTTGTGAAGAGTCTAATGCATAGCTACAGAGGTTACATTTTGTTAGTTGGGCCACTAAGAAGCCATTGAATCTTTTCGAGCGAGGGGATGATGCTTTAGAAGGATTATTCTAGTCTAGTAGTTCTCAACTATGCTTTCCAGCCTGACAGTAGTTTTAACAACCCACTACCCTAGACCTGAATCAGAACCTCTGTGCATTCAGCCCATGAATCAGTTTTTTGTACTGTTACTTTTTTTTAGTTCTGAAGAACGCTTATTTAACCGTTAAGGACCATTGCCTGGAGTTCAGAGGACTGTCAGAAAACAAAAGTTTAGAAGTATATGTTAAATTATGTGGTCTAGGGGCGCTTGGTGGCTCAGTCAGTTAAGCGTCTGTCTTTGGCTCAGGTCATGATCCCCGGGTCCTGGGATCAAGCCCCACATCGGGCTCCCTGCTCAGCTGGGAGCCTGCTTCTCCCTCTCCCACTCGCCCTCTCTCTATCTCTCTCTGTGTGTCAAATAAATAAATAAAATCTTAAAAAAAATTATGTGGTATAACTTAAACACTCTAGGAAAAGGTAAAGGACTGGTATATACCAGTCTGGAAGGACTTCATGGAGAAGAGAGTTAATGAGGCTGAAGATGAAGGGATTTTTTTTTTTTTAAGATATTTTATTTTATTTTATTTATTTTTTAAGATTCCACTTATTTATCTGAGAGAGAGAGGGAGAGGAGCACGAGAGAGAGAGAGAGCGAGCATAAGAGAGAGAGAGTGAGCACCAGCCAGGGAGGAGAGGGAGAGGGAGAAGCAGGCTCCCCCACTGACCCCGGAGCCTGACGTGGGGCTTGATCCCGGGACCCTGGGATCATGACCTGAGCCAAAAGCAGATGCTTAACTGACTGAGCCACCCAGGCACCCCTTAAGATTTTATTTTTAAGTAATCTCTACACCCAACATGGGGCTTGAACTTACAGCCCTGAGATGAAGAGTTGCACGCTCTACCAACTGAGCCAACCAGGCGACCCTAAAGATGAAAAGATTTGAGATGAGTCAGTCAAATGATACAAGTTCGGAATGAGCCGTATAGGAAGCACTGGGGTTTGGAGGTTCTGGGTTAAGCACTAGTGGGAGATATAAAATTGGATATGGAGAATTTGAATAGCTATATCAGCATCGGAGGGTAACAATCTTAGGTGGAAATAGAGAAATACATGAAAACTCTGCCCTCGGTTTGGAAAACAGTCAGATGTTCTGTAAGTAATGTATTTCTATCAAAGGAGAGTCCGTTTTAACATATATATTACTGTGCATTTTTCTATAGAAATTAGACTGTGACTTATTTAAAAGTTCACTTGTAATATTTCAATCAATAGAAGGAATGCGATTTAAGAATTTTGTGGAGAAGTAGGACTTATTAACGCGCACGACTGTTTTCTTAATTTGTAGACAATGCAGATAGCAGTACACTCCATGCTGTAACCTTCCTTCGAACTCCTGAGATTCTTACAGTAAATTCAATTGGGCAATTAAAAATATGGGATTTCAGAAAACAAGGAAATGAGCCCTCTCAGATATTATCACTGTAAGTTTTCATTTGTAATTTCAGTAGCGTAATGCAAAATTAATTTGTTCGATTGTTTATAGCAACTGACTTTAAACCATACTGTATTTTAATTGCATTTGAAGAGAATGATCCCTGATTAAATTTGGTAAAGCAAGTGTAATTTGATGGTTTTGGTACTGCTGTGCTGCATTTAGTAAATATTTGTCATATTGATTCAGAGCCTTTATCTCTTTGAAGTTTGTATTATTTAATGGGGAATTTATTTTTGCTCGGCAAATGATTCTACTGATAGTAGGTACAATGCATTCCAGATGTGATTGAGTTAAAAATACAATCTGAGGAGCGCCTGGGTGGCTTAGTTGTTAGCCTTTGGCTCAGGTCATGATCCCAGGGTCCTCAAATTGAGTCTCGCATCGGGCTCTCTTCTCAGCAGGAAGCCTGCTTCTCCCTCTCCCACTCCCCCTTGCTTGTGTTCCCTCTGTCAAAAAATAAATAAAATCTTAAAAAAAAAAAAAATACAATCCAAGATATTTTTTCTGAGCAAAAATTCCCATTCTGTGTGCAATTTTCTCTTCCCTAATAAGAATATAGAATGTGTCAACCTGAAAAAGTAATTATATAAACAAAATATTAAATAAGGTAAAAGTAAAGAATATGCTGCTTAGTTGTACATAATGTTTTTAAAATACCAAGAAATGGAAATATGTTTGCATATCTTACCATCAGATTATCATGCTCCTTATGTCTCCAAATTGAAGAAGGAATAACTTTGGCTTTAATTTCATTGCAAAATTCTAATATTTAGAAATATATTTAATGCACTCAATTTTTTGACATGATTTAAGTTCAGCTAGTAGCTCCAGCCACAAAGTCATCATTTAGTTTCTAGAGTGAAACATGTTTCATGGATTATGCAAAGATAAACCCTACTTCACAACATGTTTGATGTCGTATCTCCCATAAAAGGACTGGTGACCGAGTGCCCCTCCACTGTGTTGACAGACATCCCAACCAGCAGCATGTTGTAGCTACTGGTGGCCAGGATGGAATGCTGAGTATTTGGGATGTTAGACAAGGCACTATGCCTGTGTCTCTGCTGAAGGCTCATGAAGCTGAAAGTAAGTGCTGTGGAGATACTTAAGTTTTTGTTGGGTAGTAGTATGATATATTGTAAGCAGCTTTCCGTAATCATAAAAACGGATCATTTTACAGTAGCTTTTGGCTGAATTATATAAATGTATAATAATTAATCCCTTTTTATTTGACACTTAAGTTCTTCAGCATGTTTTGTTATTTTATTCAAAACCACAGTGATTATCCTTATATGTTCATCTTTATGGGCTTATCTTCTTAGGATAATTTTTTAGAAGTAGAATTGGTGAGCCAAAACATAAAGCTGTGATACATGTTATCAAACTGTTATACATAAAAATAATACCAGTTTATATTGCCATACTCTGTATAAGAGGAAGCCCTTTTCCCATGCAAATGCAGGCTATTGTTAATATTTACCAACCTGTGTGTTCCTCACAGAAGAATTGTACCTTTTTTTTTTTTTTAAACAGGAACAGTATATATAGGATCTTGTCCCTTTTTTGTTCATCTTTTGATTTTGGTGGGGATTTTTTGACTAGACAGAAATTTTTCATTTTGTCACCATCTTTGATATCATGACTAAATTATAGTTTTAAATTCTGACTTAAGAGAAGTCTATGTTAAGCCTTGCTTGAATAAAAGTACAGAAGTAGAAACATACCAGTATTGTAACATCTCGATTTTAAGTTCCGTTATTACCTTGGAAAGATAAATGATTTTTAAGATTATATTTAAGAAGCAAATAAAAGGATAGAAATTTTTTGCCTCTTCTAGTTATAACTGTACCTGGGGGGAAAAAATAAAAAATAGGGTATGTCCTCATAGAATCTGATGTTGGCTAAGCCAGTGGTAGTAATATTACAAACTTTCAGATCTCTTCTTCCAGCCCCCTTTTTAACTGCCAGCCTGTATTGCCAAGCAATACATACAAATGTAGCAGATCATAATGTATTGTTTTGATTCATTCTAACTCTTGGCTAGAAATGAAATAAGATGTTTTAGTACAGAGGTTTGTTTTCTACTCTGAAAATAAATACTTAAGAATCTAGGTTTGTACAGTCGGCTTATGGCTCTACAGGCTATTTTCTTTCACTTTCTTTTATTGAAACAGTATGAATGTATTTTACATAGAGATTTGCCCAGAACAGGTTCTCTTGAGGAAGATGACCTTCTAATGTTTTGTGGCATGATGCCTAATTGTGGTAATTGTCAGAATGAAAATTGCCCAGTTGCAAGCGTGTGCCTTCTAGCACTTTTTATGCTATGTCCCAGGCACCTTCTATGCTGCCTCTTTAAGGTTCTAATCCAGAATCACAGAACCCTTGTTCACAGACTGCCTGTTTGATTTGCGTGCTGCAGAGAACCTCCTAAGGCATCCTGGCCAGTTATTGGCTCCCATTTGTCTATTGACACACAAAGTTCCCTTAAAGTTTGGAACTTGCAGGGTCCTCAATCCCAGACTGGCTTCTTAAAAGCCCTCCATCTGAAAATGAGTCCAGATTCTGGGAGCATTTATAGGTTTTAGTTTGCTAGGAGCTAGTTGGTATTTATGTGATATATACCAGAGGTATCCAGAAGCCTGGCATGAAGCAAAATTGAACTGCTGCTTAGAAATTCATTTGTATGTTACTTTTATGGTATTCTCTCTGTTTTTCCAGTAATATAACCTTCATATATATTTTTTAAGGATTTCATTTATTTATTTGAGAGAGAGAGCAGAACAGAGCGAGAGAGACAACATGAGCAGTGGGAGGGGCAGAGGGAGAAGGAGAAGCAGGGCCGGATCCCAGAACCCTGGGATCATGACCTGAGCCGAAGGTAGGCGCTTAACCAGCTGAGCCACTCAGGTGCACCTAACCTTTCTTCATATGTTAATGACACAGGAATTGAAAATAAGAGAACTTACCAATTTAAAAAAAAATTTTAGGGACACCTGGGTGGCTTAGTTGGTTAAGCATCTGCTTCAGCGCAGGTCATGATCCCAGGGTCCTGGAATCGAGTCTGCATCAGGCTCCTTGCTCAGCGGGGAGCCTGCTTCTCCCTCTGCCTGCCGCTCCCCCTGCTTGTGTGCTCTCTCTGATAAATAAATAAATAAAATCTTAAAAGTATATATTTTAGGAATTATCCCATTGTCATATTCTTCCATAAAAAAATGTAATAGGTCAAATGATTAGCATTTATTTTCTTTTTTTTTTAATTAACATATAATGTATTATTTGTTTCAGGGGTACAGGTCTGTGATTCATCAGTCTTACACAATTGACAGCGCTCACCATAGCACATACCCTCACCAGTGTCCATCACCCAGCCACCCCATCCTTCCCATCCCCCTCCACTCCAGCAACCCTCAGTTTGTTTCCTAAGATTAGGAGTCTCTTACGTTTATCTCCCTCTCTGGTTTTGTCTTGTTTCATTTTTCCCTCCCTTTCCCTATGATCCTCTGTCTTGTTTCTCAAATTCCTCACATCAGTGAGATCATATGATAATTGTCTTTCTCTGATTGACTTATTTTGCTTAGCAGAATACCCTCTAGTTCCATCCACATCATTGCAAATGGCAAGATTTCCCTTTTTTGATGGCTGCATAATATTCCATTGTGTATATATACCACATCTTCTTTATCCATTCATCTGTTAATGGACATCTAGGCTCTTTCCATAGTTTGGCTATTGTGGACATTGCTGCTATAAACATTGGGATGCGTGTGCCCCTTCGGATCACTCCATTTGTATCTTTGGGGTAAATCCCCAGTAGTGCAATTGCTGGGTCATAGGGTAGCTCTATTTTTAACTTTTTGAGGAACCTCCATACTATTTTCCAGAGTGTCTGCACCAGCTTGCATTCCCACCAACAGTGTAAGAGGGTTCCCCTTTCTCCGCATCCCCACCAACATCTGTCATTTCCTGACTTGTTAATTTTAGCCATTCTGACTAGTGTGAGGTGGTATCTCATTGAGGTTTTGATTTGGATTTCCCTGATGCCGAGTGATGTTGAACACTTTTTCATGTGTCTGTTAGCCATTTGGATGTCTACTTTGCAGAAATGTCTGTTCATGTCTTCTGCTCATTTCTTAATTGGATTATTTGTTCTTTGCGTGTTGAGTTTGATAAGTTCTTTATAGATTCTGGTAGCATTTATTTTCATTCACTCCCTAGCGCAATACACAAGTAGATTTATTTGGCTTCTTTATCCTATCTATGTGTTATAGCCATTTGGAGAATTATATCTTTTCTTTAATTCTGAAACCTTTGATTTTTATCACAGACTTGGGGTTTGAAGGTGTGTGATGGAGGTTAATGGAATATAATGCCTAGAGATAGGGTCTTAAAGTGTGTTCAACTTTTCTGCACAGGAATTAGCTTCTTGGTTCTTATCTTTTAGTGTGGGAAGTGCACTTTCACCCGTCCAACCCAGATCATCTATTTACTTGTTCTGAGGATGGATCCCTCTGGCATTGGGATGCCTCCACAGACGTACCTGAAAAATCATCACTGTTTAACCAAGGTAAAAGGATTTAATGAATGTTCTTGTGTGTAATTTTGTTATAGTTTTAAATACCACATTAGAAATTCTCGTATTTTTCACATTAAAGAATGGTAGAATGTTTCCATTCTCCTGCCTCAGGGTAAATTCTAGTATCATAGGGCTTGAAATCTGTCAGCTGCCTACTACTCTGGTGCTGATGACTACAAATGCCATAAGCTGGCTAACTTCGCACAGCCAGGGTTCTTCATGCTACATTTCCGAGACTTTCCATTCAAGAATCACCAGAAGGACGGTTAAAATCTCCTGCTTTGCTTGAAGAATTCAAGTTTGATATCCATAATATCCTATGGGAATTTGAGGATTTAATATCACTGAATAAGCCTTTGGTCAAAAATGGTGATGTGTGATAATGGAGTCATCACCCTGTTTTCTGAGAATTAAGTTTCAATTCTAGCCTTTTTAAAATATCAACAGAATTTCAGATGTTTACTAACATATTAGTCTTGAAAGATGTGTTCCCCTTTTTTTCTTGCAGGAGGAAGAAATAGTACTTTTTTGTCTCACAGCATTAGTAACCAGGCTAATGTTCACCAGTCTCTTATAAGCTCCTGGCTCAGCACTGATCCTGCAAAAGACCGTATTGAAATCACAAGCTTGCTTCCCAGCAGGACTTTGTCTGTGAACAGTTTGGATGTTTTAGGTCCTTGTCTTGTTTGTGGAACTGATTCAGAAGCCATTTATGTTACTAGACAGCTTTTCTCATGAAAATACTGTAATTACAAGATTTCAGGTAAAGCATATTGTTAGCATTTCAAAGTACAACTTCTATGCAGATTTTTATTATTGGAAACTGAAATTTGCAGAGGAAGCTTCTGTAAACTATTGATAATATCGATGCCCTGTTTTGACTTTTGTCAGTTGAATGTTCTCATAGTTGCAGAGTCAGAGAGATGACTGATGGCAAGAGAATTGGAATCTGTGGAAGACTATCAGAGGGATCCTTTTGCTCATGTATACACTGCCTTCAAACAGGCTATTCTATAGAACCTGCTTTAACTCATGGAACCTGCGCTTCATTTTTGATATTATGGAACTTAATATTCTCAAACCACCAACAGGTTCCTATTCTTTTTATAGACACTGTGGGAGATAATTACCCCTCCCTGGTGGCCCTGGCCAGTGTTAATGTTTATCCTTTTTATTGTAGATATTTTCTTCAATCTTTCCACATTTTATTTCCTTAATAAGTTTAATAAACTTCATAAAGAATTGAGTAGAGCAAAGATGACAGGTTTTTGTAGTGTTCCCATTTTTTTTAAAGGTTTTGTTAAAGGAAAGCGTTTTGACAGATTCCTCTGTTAGAGTAGGTTTGAACAGAACTCGGTCAACTGCTGAGACCCAGCTTCATTTTTCTTGAAAAAGGAAAAGTACATTTTTCCTAAGGATTTTTGCTTTTATTTAGTTTTACAACATAGTTCAAAATTGCTGAACTGGACATTGTGCAATAAAATAGAATTTGATATTGATAACTGAGCTGACTTCCAAACTAAAATTTGATAGATAACATGTATGAGACTAGTATGATGATGTGGTAAGAGTAAAGAATATTTTGTCCTTGTCTACAATGTTTTTTTTATGTTATGTTAATCACCATACATTCCATCATTAGTTTTTGATGTAGTGTTCCATGATTCATTGTTTGCGTATAACACCCAGTGCTCCATGGAGAACGTGCCCTCTTTAATACCCATCACCAGGGTAACCCATCCTCCCACCCCCCTCCTCCCTTGTCTAGATTGTTAATGATAATCTAACATGTAGGTGTTTTCTTTTGTTTGTTTTTGAGTGTAGTTGACATAATGTTACATTAGTTTCAGGTTAATGTGTAGTGCTTAAAAACAATTTTGTGACATTGTCTTTCCAAAGTTTGTTTTAAGTGTGTTATTGAACGTGAAGACCTTAATGACAAATCACTGTTACTATGCTCCTAAAGCATGTATTCATTTACTTTATAATTCCAATGATAGTAATTATGGTAAAGTTTTGTTTTTCTGTCCTAATAAATACTTTCAATTCTTTTATGCCACCTTACCTCGGGGGGTTTTTTGCTTGGGGTTTTTTGTCAACATTTTTAAATGGAATACATATATGCAATCTGCTTTTTTATATAAATTTGACCCAGAAATATTTGATAAAATTAGTAACTTGAATTATAAAGAATCAGAGGAGGAAAGAAAATGTTGCCAATGGAATTTTTAATCTGTTTATAGTTTTATTGCTGAGACTAAATTTTTAAGACTTTGTTATTACAAAAGTAATTTGTTACAGAAAAAAGTCAAAAGAAATTTTTAAGTACTTATATCAGACAATAGTCTTTTCATCCCCTTTTTTATCCATCAATGTGTGTATAATTTATTAAAATGAAATATATCATGTTATATTTATGAATATACATTCCCCAGGAGTAATCACATGGTTTCCATAGTAAAAACATAGCTATTAATTTTCCTTTGACTTACTTCCCTTTATGTGAATGTCTTGCTGCAGCCTAACCTTCAGTGTCCCTTTCTTTACTTCCCAGGCATACTCCCATTCCATTCAGCAGACTAACATCCTTGCTCTGAGTGGGCCCTGAGTTGATCTCACTCCTAGAAGAGTAGCTCCTGGGGGGCACATTTTTCATGCACAGTGAGTGGCAAACTTGTGCCTCTGCTTTCATCTACATTATATGCTGCTGAAAAGTTTGAAGGATTCATATATGTTCTTAGCACCCTTCTCAGGTTCCAGCAGCAATACATACAATTTCCCTGGGTTGTTATAGTAAATAATTGGTAGACGGAGGGAGCCATATGTGTAGGCTTAGAATACTAACTTGGGCTGCCAAAAGTTTCAAGTTTGAAGCTTTGCTTTGCTTTAAGAGTAATTGTAACCATGAGTAAAAGAAAGTACATTTGGATAGTGTTACATTTCTTATCATTTGGTGAATTCTGCCAGATTTAATAAGAAACATAAGCTTTATGGAGTATAAATAAAACCCCGGTTTATAAATTTGTTCATTATCACTGCCTTTATTCATGAAACTATCATATAGTTTCTTTGAGGGCTGCAGGATCACAGAGGTAGAAGGTACCTTGGAGAGCATCTCTAACCCAAATTTAACCATCACTTCCACAGCATTCCCAACAAATTATCATCCAACCTGTACTTGAAAATATACTGTTATCAAGTTTCCCATTTCCCAGTGCAGCTTCCCCTCACTTGGACAGCTCTTTCTGATACAGCATTATGGCAGGGTTTTAGTGTATGAATGGAATCTAAAACAATCCTGTAAAACAAAAAGTAAAATCATATTATTTGGGGTTAATGAAATGATCATGTGAACCTACTGCGAGACAGCCAATCACTAATCAGTTTACTGAATTTACATTATGTTGGGGCGCTTTACTATAAGGTTTTACTAAATAAATTAATTTTCATATACTGAACTGAAATTTGCTTTCATTTGTCTTCCTTGGGAGCCACAAAAAAATCCTTCATCACATATCCAAATATTCAAAACTATGTATCATAGCTTTTTGGAGTAAACTTTTTAAAATCCCTTCAATGGTTTCTAATGGGCAAAGTTCTCTCTGCATTGTTTCTTGCCCTTCTTGGCTAAATTCCAAAACTTCCAAACTCCTTTTAGGTGTCATTTTCTCCAGGAAGCCTTTCCTGGCCTCTGCCAATTTGCCTAAATTGTACTCTGCTTCAAAAGCCCATTGTGCTGTGCTTACAGCTGTATTAAGCAGCCTGTCTCTACTGGACCACACAAACAAGGCCCATACCTTAGTGTTGTATTAATAATGTTTAATATAGTATCTGATCCATGGTAAACACTGAATCAGTGCAAACTGAGCTGAACTAACCTCACAATCTTGTTTTCCCTTAAAAAAATACTCCCTTTTGCCACCAAAGACCATCATTAAAGTGTGACCTCCAAAATGAACACTAGGTGGTGTCTGCCTCCCTCAGAGTTGACTTAAGAAATCTCACTATCCTGGTTCTTGGTACAATATTCCTTTGTAATGCTGTCTCACCTTATTTTAACTATTCTGGCATTTGTTCAGTTAGACTGCTGACTAGTTGAACTTAAACCCTTTACCTTTTTCACACATGTAGTATACTATACTGTACTTCCCCTAGTGTTGAGTTAATGCAGATGATTTTGATCCTTACTATAGGTCAATCCCTGTTCTAAAAGACAAATCTTATTTCCATACAGGAAAGAACTAACAATCTCCTGTGAATGTTTTCAGCAGAAGCTGATCATTTTCAGAATTTCCCAGCATGATCTACACTCTCACCCCATTGGTTAGGCGACAGGATAAATGTACTGAAGTGCTTAGGCCCACTCCTCTAGTCCTCCCAATTATCAGTGACATGTAAATCATTGGTATTTGACTATAGTTATTGAAATCTTTATAAACCTAATCTATTGACATTCTGCCCCATTTATCTTGTTCACAAAGCTGCTGTGGGGGAGATAACTGTGCTATGGCTATCCCATCAAAAATTTTGTATAATTGAAAAATTCCTTGTCCTTGGTAACACTTCCATTTCAGAGTATTGTGGAAATATCCTTTTAATAATCCATTCTAGAATCTTGTCTAGGAAGAATACTAAGTCCACCAGTATAGTTTGTATCAAGCCTTCATTTAAGCTTATGGTATCAATATGGTACCCAGCTCAGACTAGTTACATGGTTTGAAGCAGTAGCAGTGCTCTAGTCTTATAGATTAGAAACCTGGAGACATTTGAACTATGACAAGCAAGTATTCAAACTCTTTCAGCAGTATCTTCTGAACCACAACATTAAGTGGCAATGTACAGAACTAACAGACTACCATCATCTTAGCTTCAAAACAATTCGAACATTTTGCTGTATTAGGTGAACAAGGAGGGAGAAAACCATGGGGGGGAGGCAGGTAAGAAGCGAGAAGTAGAATGACTAGAATATAGCTGATCAGGTAAAAAAAAATTTAATTAAAAATATACTAATGTTAAAAAAAAAATAAACTAATGTTCAGTTCCAAACTGTCATAACTAGACTTCGGGGGACAGTAGCTGGCAGACTAGCCTAACAGTCATCAGAAATGCATCAGCTGTCAAAAAATAATTTTTGTGCAGGCCATGGACATAAGAAGCTAAACTGTAATAGTAGACTGTAAAATAATAGCTGCAACTCATCAAAACACAGATTTTACCCCTTCATAGTATGGAATGAAGTTAAATTTAAAAATTTTTTTTTTTTAAAGATTTCATTTATTTATTCATGAGAGACAGAGACAGAGAGAGAGAGGCAGAGGGAGAAGCAGGCTCCCAAGGAGCAGGGAGCCCGATGTGGGACTCGATCCCAGGACTCTGGGATCATGACCTGAGCCGAAGGCAGACGCTTAACCATCTGAGCCACCCAGGCGCCCTAAATTTTAAAATTTCTTAGCAAGAGATGTTCTACAAACAATGATACTCCAGTAGTAACAAGCATACCTAGAAACTAGATTGGCTTTTTTTTTTTTTTAAGATTTTATTTATTTATTTGAGACAGTGAGAGAGAGCACAAGCAGGGTAAAGGGCAGAGGGCAGAGCGAGAAGCAGACTCCCTGCCAAGCAGGTAGCCCAATGCAGGGCTCTATCCCGGGACGCCTGGATCATGACCTGAGCGGAAGGCAGATGCTTAACTGACTGAGCCACCCAGGTGCCCCCAGATTTGGTTTCTAATACCATTCTCCAATAAAAGGAACGAGGACTTCTTGGAAAGACAGGGAATATATAAGATAGCTTGAAGCATCTTGTACTGTCAGAAAGTAAGGAAGTTCTTTTTTTTTTTTTTTTTAAGTAGGCTCCACACTCCATGGAGCCCAATGTGGTGGTTGAACTCATGACCTGAGATAAGAGTCAGATGCTTAACCACCTCAGCCACCCTGG